AACACAAAGCCCCGCCCCTCGTCATTTTTAATATTTGACTGCCATTTCCAGATGCCCCTTGAACTTGTGAAGTAATCTATTTCAAGAATGGGTGTTGTGGAGATTGTGTTTGATATTATTGCTCATATTCATTTCATGTTGTCTTTTTAATGCTTTGCTTTTATGCAGCACTTCATTAAACAGATTTATGTAAAAATTACGTAGCCGATACTGACGCAAGCCACTGAGTTCTGAGATTTCAGCCTCCCGCACTGTTCTTGAAGATAACCAGCCCAAGGCTGGTGCTATTTAGTCAGTGGTTGTGAATTAAGCTACAATTAAATGTCTTCAAAAAGGAAAAAAAAGAACCGATCGATTAGCTGCCCGTCTACTTGTTGTTAACCTTCTGTTTACAAGTGTTTTCACAAAAGTAGTATTGATGTAGATAAATAATCATTAGCAGAGAATTAGGATGGTGTGCACATTTAACCTCAGTTCGGTACAAGGTGCCGGACATAAGCAGCACATGGTAAAAGATAAGTAGTGCACCCAGTGAATATGGCAAACTCCCAAGTAGTTATAAGGCAACATCTCAACCATCAAAGTCTTTATCAGGCAAACATCCACATTAGAGAAAACCGAAACTGACAAGAAGAATTTGAGGAACACATAAGCCAAAACGTTATCCACTATATACACAAACTCACATGGCAACTATGCTAAAACTGACTAAAAACCTATGCAGGGTATATGTTTATATACAGTATAATACACATTTTTGACAAATGTACAATATTGTGATTGTGCATGAGAAAATCAATTTGTAAATAGTCTTAGTTTTTTGTGATCTCCTCGTTGTAGGTGGAGTTGTCATTTTCTCTGTATATATGGCCTGTTTTCCTCACACATGGGTGCCCAACAGAGACCTTGGTGGTCGAAATGTTGCCTCGTTAAATTGCAGTATTCAGTGTGTGGACTACCTCTCTTTTGCCATTATAAACAGTCTTTTTCCTCCCGTTGTTATTTGATGTGACTTGCGAGTGCAAGTCAAAGGTATATATATCAAAACTGCAGGAAAGCTCTTGTGTGCATTTCCAGGCCCCAGTATCACCAGGAATAATTGATAGAGCTGTTGGAAAGGTCTTATGCGATTTGACAGTAATGGTTGCATATCTTATTGACCTCCATTTGCATTGGCAGTAAACGCTAATGGGGAGCTGATTTCAGTTTTTCATGAGCAAAACTACGGGAGCTTGTTTGTCGGTTGAATGATGCCTTTTATAAATCTTAAACATTCCCAGAGATGCAGGTTGTGTAAATGGTGCCATTGAACAGCTGCTTCAACTTCAGTGTGTACATCACATATAATCTTACACTTACTTCATGCAAAATTCATTTGACTTTTAGACTTGAGCCAGGAAGTGCAGGGCGTGGTCGCGGTGTGTGTCAGAGCGCTGCCGCTATCGCTGGAGCTTGAACAGTTGAACTCTGAATGATGTTTTTTGTAGTAATAATATTATTACCATCCATAGCTGCCTCCCAAGATTCCTCCAGACGTTCTGACAGTGTTGTAGCTGCGTTTTGAGGGCTGCATGTATTGGCTGTGTGCTGGCTCCAGAATTTAGGTGTAAAATAGTTTGTGGTGATGTTTTCAGTTTCAGCCAGTGATGCTTTATTTTCAGTGATGTATTTTTATATGACCATGGTTTATTTCCTTTTTTCTTTTGTTATTCTATCGAATAGTTGCCATCGTGACCATTAAAAAGGCACTTTGCTATTGTCAGTTTATTGCAATAAAATACATTAAGTGCATCTTCCTGTTGTCCTTTCAACCATATGCATTTTGCATCATTTGGAGTTATTAATCCAGTTTTCTCACAACTACCAGCACCATTCCCAACTATTTAATTCTGTCTTAACCATAAACTCAAGGTTAATTCCCTGTAGGTAGCAGGGTCTTGTTGAGTCGGTGTGGGTTTTCAACGTCTCACAGCTACGTATTTACTCTGCATGTTCAGTTGGGTCTGTGTGTGTATCTTGAGTTGGGGAGAGGGAAGAAGTTGGGTCAGCATGTCAGAGGATAAATGATGCTTAGAGGGCCTCCTGCAAGTCAACCAGGCACTTTTTTGACAGCCTCAGCAAATCACATTTCACTATTCATAACTCATCCAATGCAGATGGACTTACTCACTCTTCCTCCCTCTCTCCTACACACACACACACAACTTCCAAGCAGTCACCCACCAGTCCATGTCATTCGTAAACTTCTCTCTAACTCCTTCTCCCATGAATTCATATTAATGCGCACATACCCAGTGAAGCCAAGAACAAATGCTGCCATCCATTCCATAAATCACGGTGACACAAAGGGAAAACAGCATTCACTGCAAGAAAAATCATAGTTTGGTGTTTGCTTGTGGTGTCACTGGATTGTTTGCTAGGTGCTGTGATGCATGCAGGTTCCCATGCAAAAGCTTTTTGGTCGACTCTTGACAAAACAATCTGTCTTGACTGAAAGAGCCCCCACACTCAAAGATCTATTGATTCCACTGGTGCTGATAGCAGGCACACTGATATTGCTGATGTTATTGTCAGCCAGCTCCATCACAACTTCACAGAATGCAAAAAACACAGAATCCTCCCCCTTTGAGCACCATCTTCCTGTCCCACTTTCTCCCTGATTCTTGTTCCGTCTCCTTTTTCTCCAGCACACACACACCCTATGAGGAAAGATCTATTTTGCATAAAAGTAACCAACATCCACAAATCCATAGTCTTCGCCGAGGATGCAGACACCATAGGGCACACATGGACAGACAGTATTTAACGATCCAGAGCAGCAGGGCAGCATTCAGGCAAATAGATTATGATTTATTACCAGTGAGAGAGGAAGCCCAAAGACATGACTTTTTTTTTCTCCTGCTTTCGTTGTGGTGAGCTTGGATGCGTCATAACAAGGACAAAGAGGAAAAATCCATAAAGGACCGACATACAAGTGGCCTGTCAGAAAGGAATATTTCTTGTATAACCATGTTGACTTACCATAACACAATGCTTGGCATCCACTATATATAAGCAGGACAGATATGTTGTTCTGTTCTAAGAGGTGAAGACATAAGGAGCTACAGAATTAACAGCTTGCAGAGTGTGACTGGTCTTTTGAGGCGTGTGCACAGCTTGTTGCACTCACCTTTGTATACCACACTGCTTTGTGTGTTATGACTCACTGTGATCAAAGTGTGAGTCAGTAAGAACAGTGAGATATCTTGTTAATATACAAATTGGAAGAGTCACATCTCGAGTGGCGTACTGGTTTGCCTCTACATGATTTAAGTATAGTGAGCTAACAGTTGTAGGAAAACAGATGTACCACCTGTCCTGCTGAAAATGGCACTACAGTTTGCCAGTGATGTATTAGCAGCAGTGAGTAGTCTCCGGGGCTGTGTGATCTGTGTAACTTCTGCTGGAAAAAAGTAAGTTGTTGATGATTATTATGGAAACTCCAGGCAAGAAAATATATTTCACATGCAGCGCAAAACACACAAGACACTGACATCCAAACAACAAAAACACTGAGGGTCCCACATCATTTATTATGAATTAAAAACATGCACAAATTTACAAACACACAAACTGCCACGCACACTGGAATATTCTCATCTCATCCATAATTGATAAACACTAAAACTGTGTGTGTACTTCCACTGGTTCTGCCTAAGATGGAGTAAACTGATGCTAAGGTTGCTACTAGGCAACGTTCCCCTGGGAGTGCTGCATTTAGTCTCTTTATTCTCTTAGGCCCTGTAAAAGCCTGGAGATTCAGATCCAGAGCTAATTAACTGTTCCAGGCATTCGTTGTTTTATTTGTTTTTTATTGAGAATTTAAATGAACATTTAAATACCTGATAGGTTGGATGACCTTGCTGATATTTATAATTTATCAGGAAGATTTTGCCAAGGCCCTTTTTGTCTTGACCTTTCCTAATAAGACTAATATTCAAGCTTGGTCAAGACATACTTTTCACTATCCAAGGGTAGATTTACCATAGGTCATTTAACATAGCTTCTGTGAACAGGAGTAGACGGAGGGATATAGAGTTATTAGACATGCTAGTAGCTCTGTGAGGTTGTACTTACAGCAGTGGTTTAAGCATCACAATACGGATGTATTATGGCTCACAATGACAATTCTAACATGCAGATAGTTGCTGATTACTGTAGTTTTGGTCATTTTGACCTGATAGTTGCAATAGGTAGAAAAATTAAGGGATCCCCAAAGTTATTACAATCCACCAGTAGGGGGAGATGAATATCTGCACCAAATATTATTGCAATCCATCCCATAGTTGTTGAGATATTTCAGTCTGGACCAGAGTGGTGGACCCACCAACGTAGTCATACCAGGAGCCACATCGTTAGCATGGTGAAATGGCGATCTGGCTTTCATATATTGTACATCCAACAAGATGGAGTACTGATTTTAATTTCCTTGGATCCATGCCAGACCTGCCGAGGAGAGTTGCAGCTATATAAAAATAGATTCATGCAAGCAAATTAATAATTATCATCTGTGAGAAACGATAAGCTCATAATATAGCCACCGCATTCTGCCTTTAGGCGTTTTACACAACAGTAAACAGGGTGCTCAGAAGCAGCAACTGGCCTGACCTGTGCCCCCTTCACAGCTCAGTTATCCATCATAGGTGTAATATATACTGTACAGTAGCCCACTTTGCTGCAGGGCAAAGCAAAGAGATGTTTTGTAATATTATTCAAAGCAAGTTGTTTTTTAATTGTTAATAAGACTATGCACATTCGATCAGATGATGCCTTTATGCATAAGTAAAGGTGGTAACAACAGCGATCTAATCAGCGATGTGCATCTTGTTCTCCGGTGGGATGCCAAGTAATTAT